TTTATCAAGGAACCTCTAGCATGATAGAAATGAAAGCCGCCTTTTTCCTGAGGGGCATGTTAAATGTTTTCAACTTCCTTGATCTCCTCTTTATCATGTATGTTGAGTTTTAGAAGCATAGAACTGCAGTAGTAATGTTGAGATTGAATTTTTATTGCTAAGCCTTCCAAACACAAAATTTTAAAAGCTCATTAGTAACTGAAAATTGTAACCGTTTTGAGGACACATTTTACTGCTATAATAACTACAAAACAGAATGATAAATATAGAAATATTATACTAGAATTTGGAGGAATGTTTTTCACCCTTGTTTCCTTATAAAATTCTATAGAAGTTGTGTTTTCATGTACAGTTTTACTAGATAAATAGGTTCACATTAAGATTAAACACAAATACTGCACTGTTTATTTAAAATTGCAATAAAGCTGTTAACAATTTTTGTAGTTTTCACTGTAAAATACAAAGGTGAGAAATAATTTTTCACCCAGAAAGGTATAATTTATGGGAGAAATATTGTTCATTACTGGTGGAAGTACTATGATTTGTTTACTTGTTTCATTCACTTATTATAAAACATACCTATTGAGTGTCATAATGTGGCAGGAAATGCGCTTAGTTGGTAAAGATGCTTGTCTTACTTTTTTCATAAAACACTACAACGTAAGGGAGAAAACTTTATTTAACTCACAGTTTGTAGAGGTTACAACATTACTACTGCAATTCTGTGCTTCTAAAACTCAACATACATGATAAAGAGGAGATCGATGAAGTTGAAAACATTTAACATGCCCCTCAGGAGAAACCTCTACAAAGTGATTTTCCAAGCCAGCGTGGCATGGCAGACAGGCATCACAGAGGAGAAACAGTGCATGGTGGGCTTCAGGTAGCAAGGCAAGCAAGGGACCTTAGCAACTTTTTCCTGCCCCTTTTGTACAGTATCTAGGCTACCAGGATTAGGGTGGTGCCAAACCAGTCAGTGGACTGATTTAGTAAGCATGCACCCTTAATCCTAGTATTACCCCTTAAATTAGTCACATATTTTAGATTTAGCTACCTCTGAAAAGGCCCCACCTATGACCAAATGAGGTTTCTAGGGTACATCTAGGCACAAGCCATAACAGATACAAAGATAGACATTGCATCATCTTTGTCCTTGCATTTTTATTTAACCGTATTTTTAACCTTATATTGATGTGCTTTGAGTTGGTGTCTCAAAATGTTCTTGAGTTGGAAATGAACTCTTATTTCTTTCATGTCAAGGGAAAAAAATGTGTCCACTCAGGTAAAGTGGCAAGGGAGCCCAGTTTTTGCTAGTCCAGTAGTGTATCTTCATTTTAAGGCAGAGAGGTAGAGAGGCAGAGTCTTTTTTTTTTTTTAAAGTCCTCAATCAGTTTGGTTTATCTGGTGGTTCTCATTCAGTGTCATTTGGCATTATTCAGTGATATCAAGACAGATGGACAGAGTTGCCACAGGACAATGGCATCACTAAGTCTGAGGGCCCTGGGTTGTCATTTAATAAGGATACATGGCACAATTCCAGGGTTTATACTGGACACGCCGTTCAGAAACAGCAGGTCAGAGATAATTGCTTGTGGACAGGTCCATGGTGGTAGTTAAGAGGTAGCTTAGGGCCAGGAGCCATTGGCTCTGTAACCAGACGGTTTGATCCTGTGTCTGTAGGAACCTGACATTACTTGGCCGGTCTGTGCTGTGCCTGGCTTATTTGTCAAATGGAAATAAGAGCAACTGCATGTTCCTCTTCTGTCTTGGTAGGATTAAATGAGTTAATCCGCGTGAGTGCTTAGGGCAGAGACTGCACACAGACAGAACTCATAAAGTAGTGATAGTATTGGGGCCATAGTTATGCTGGTGAGCATCAACATCCATCCTCCTCCTCATAAATGTCCTTGTTCACATCGTGTCACAGAAGGCCAGTTGGCAGCAGGCAGGGAACAGTCTGAGAGAGTAGGTCACACTGCTGGTAGACTATAATTTATAATTGAGGGAGAAGATCTTAATGGTAATGTGATAACTTTGTATCCTACCTAAGGGGTGTGTTCCAGCAACAACTATCACTGATAATTATGAGTCACTACTCTGCCAGTCCCATGGCCTCTGAACATGGTTCCACAAGGTTATCAACTCCTGAGAGCCCCTCCACATGGGCTCCTTTCCTCACACTGCTGAGGCAAAAGGGTGGGCCTCCCACTTTGCTGCTTCTCGTGTTTCCAGCAGTACCTTGATGCATGAAAGTCATATTCCATGTGAGCTCACTGAGTAGCTTCTCACCCTTGCATTTCCTAGTGTATAGCTTTTCTGCTGCATACTCTCTTGATAGCCCCAAAGAGGGGAGGTGGTGCATGCAAGAATGGAAGAAGCCAGCAAGGCTGCCAGAATTCTGCTGAAGCATACGAAAGTTGCCACAACAAAGGCTGAGCTGGCCCACAGGGCCAGTAAGTTTGAGGTCAGGAATCTCTAAATTGGCCTGTGCTCAAGCCTGTGTGTCTGGTTAACTACAACTCCTGGTAAGACAGTAGTAACATGCCATTTTTACAGAGTCTAGCTGACTAGCAATGCAGGTTTCAGGCAGAGGGTACAGAGTGGAGATGGTTCTGTCCCATATCTGAATAGTGTTTCTTTCTTCTGAGGTTATATCCTTCTTGTGAGCACAGTTGCCCCTGTCTGCATGGCTGGCGCCCAGTAATCTTCAGAACTCAGGAGATCCAGTTAATATATTAGATGCAAATGCAGAGCAGAATGAGTGATTAGCTGTTGCTATCCATGCCAGTTAATGATGTACCAGAGATGGACTGAGTCACGCTGAGTATGGCAGAGTGATCTCCCATGTGTAATAAATAACAAAGCTTTGCATTACCCCAGGAAAAAGTCTTTAGAAGAATGGGAGCATTTTCCAGAGGGAGGTTTTATTTCATTATGTATTTAACAGGCTATTTGTGCAGTGCTTATAATATGCTAGGTGGTGTTGAAAACATCTTTTAAGATTTTCTTTTTTTAGAAGCTGACCATCAAATCCAGGTACCTGTGCGTGCTAGGCATATGCTCTACCACTGAAAAACACCCTCGTCCTCCTTAAGTTTTCATAACAATCCCAAGGAGAGAAGTTTATCCACATCACTGTTAAGTAGATAATGAAACAGGAGTGAAGATCCAGGACTCAAACCCAGGAAGTCTAGCTCCAGAGTTTGTGGCCTTCATTACTATGTGATAGATGAAGGACTGAATTTCATACCTGACCTTTGTGTGGACCTGTTTTTCTCATCTTAAAATGGAATCATGCATACTTCACAGAAGGAGTAAGGATAAAACAGGATTGTTTACATATGTGGGTAACATTTGACAAGCATTTAGGAAACTTTAGTTCTCTTCCCTCATTTTATGGCAGGCCCAGTGTTTATCCTGTGGCTTTGAGCCCTGTGCCTGGCTCATGTGTGTTTTGTGTTCTTTCATGAGATCGTCAAGTGTGGCCATAGGAGAGGCCCAGGAATATGAAGTTGTCATAGTCACAGGACCTGGAGACAGAAAGCACTGTATAGCACACAAGCTCATATGGAAGATACCACAATCATTAGGAGGCAGACGCAGGACTGAGGGGAAAGCTCGGGCCACTCCCCTTACTGGGATTTTCTTGGGAAGGCAGGTTAGGTCTGGCTAGTTTGGATAATGTGGTGGGTACTGGCCCCTAGCGATAGTCCCTCATCACCTGAAACCCAGCCCAAAAATAATTAAAGTAGAGCAACATTTGTCTCCTGGAGTGTGTGGGTCAGATCATGAAGGTATTAGCCTGGCTTGGTTTGTTTGCATTGTCAGAGAATGTTCAATGCTGGACTCTTGCTGTCTCTAAGTGCTGGTTGGCTCTGAAGGGACAGCTAGAAAAGTTGATGAAAATATTAAAAACTCCATAAAATACAAAAAGTGAGATAAGTGTGGTACTTATGAGTCACTAAATATCAAAAAAAATGCCTCGAATTTTTGTTAGAATGAGTGAATAAATAAATGGAAAAGGTGCTGTGGACCTTGTGAAAAAGTCCAATGTTTGGTGTTGGGATGAGATTTTGTCATATGTAAAACAAAAAGATGTGGATATTGTGTACAAGTTTTTAGTCTGCTTAAGTGACACAGTCTGTAAACCATAACAGTACAAACTTCCACGTTGATTCCATGTCTGTTTCTCTTCTAATGAGTTTTTCTCTGCCTGAATGCACCTTAGCCAAGGTATTCTGACTGTGATCTGGCTTGGAGAATTTATCAAGTGTGTGCTTGTTTCTCACATAGATCAGCCACCTGCTCTGTTGTCCACAGAATGGAAGGTGACACTTCCCATTTGTCTTAATTTAGGACTGTTCGCCATCCTGCTGCTCACACTGGCATTTCTCCCCCTGCCAACTTCTAAACCCTAGGTGGGACTGGTTTCTGTTCACATGGGTGCCTTACCTCTTGCCCATCTGTTATTCCAACATGTGCAAGTCCTGCATATTTCTCTCATCCCCCAAAAATTGGGTCATGCTAGAGTACTCAACAATAAAAACAACTATGAACTTGATCCAGAAGCTACTTTGAGACCTTGCCACATTTGGGAGTTACTATTCTGTGTGTCATAATCACAGGGCTATCTGGAGAAGAAATTCAGTACAATGTGTGGTAGGATGCTGTAGCACCACAGACTTTTCTCTAGTAAATGGAAGTATAGCAGTGTCATGTCATTCCTTACCAGACACACATTCCATAGAAGATATGTTTTTTGGTAGGGTTTGAGGCAGTTGAAACTAGTCCCTCTAAGATACAGTTTATCTTCAAGATATGATTTATTATGAGAGATTTCTTTGTGTCCATTCATAGGCTCTAGGCAAATGTTCCACCACTGAACTGTAGCCCCAGCCTATGTTTGAGACATTTTGTTTTCTGTGTTCAGAATGGAGAGAATCAGACAGATACACACAGTTCATGGAATCTTTTTAAATTTTATGCATTTTCTTTTACAGATCTGAAGAAAACTCTCGCTGTGTTACTGGATAACATTTTGCAGCGCATTGGCAAGCTGGAGTCAAAGGTGGACAATCTTGTTATCAATGGCACAGGAACAAACTTAACCAACTCCACTACAGCTGTTCCCAGTTTAGTAGCACTTGAGAAAATTAATGTGGCAGGTAAGAGTGGCACTTGAACATGCTGACATGGAGTGGAACCCTACTTTGAATGAGGGAAAGAATGTAGCACAGTAGTTCTTATTGGTATAATACCAATTTCATACATTTAATATGGCTTTTGTGAAGATATCTCTGAATTTATTTTCGAATAACAGCTATTAGAACGCTTTTAAGGCTTTGTCGTGATATGTAATATCCGGTGGTTTCTCTGACACATTTGCACATAACGAGCTACTGGAATTGACTTCTAGTGAGAAGATTCATAGAGTAAATTAAATGAAATATAGAGGTTATGTGAGAGGCACCTGTTGGTTAAGACTTCCTTCCTCTTTCTCACCAGTGTCAGACAATTTCAGAAGTGTGTTATATTTAATAGATTCTCTCCCCCTGTTAAAGTACAGCTTCCATTGCAGAAAATATCTCTTGTGTGTATATGGAGCAGTAGAAATTCTGGAACTGGCCATTAAGAGATAAATGGATCCTGCCTAATCCTGGCCAGTCCTTATCCACTTAGGGGCACCATCATGCAGTTTCCATGGGGATGGAAACTGTTTATATGAGCCCTTCTTGAAACTGGAATCTTGGACAATAGAAGGGAAATGAATCGAAAATAAAGCCCAAGTCATATACAGCACGTCATTGTCTAGAGTACATCACTGTCCACAACTCATAGTGGGTCTACCCTTACATCACATGCCTTGAGGGTGGCCCTCATTGTTTGTGCTTGCGCTGGGACTGCTCTTTTTAGGGGACCACTGTGCCCTAGGAACCCGACAAAGCAAGCAAGCAAAAGCATGAAGTCCTAGTAAAATGGTTGTGGACAAGCTGTCTGTATACTTCTGGTGGCTGATAGATTTGACTTTATGGGATAAAGGAACTGGATTATTTCTGAAACTTAAACTGCTTTAACACACTTCATAGCTTACTTTTCTCTCGTAAAAATTCACAGAGTCAAATAGAAGCAATTCTTTTCTTTTCTCATCTCCCAGTGTCAAAACATTTAATTGTTTCACATTATGCATGCTGGTTGTATTACCTTTTTCTCATGTTCTTTGCCCTTTAGCAAATTTTAAGTTGCAAAATATATTTCTAATAATCCAAAGTATCTAACCAAACAAAAATGTTAAAAAATAACTTTTAATTACAACATAGAGGCAGTGTCATCGAGGCTATAAATTGCATCTTCCCTGCGGTTTTCAACTCTTTCTGTAATTAGACAAGAGAACCCTCTGTTGTTTTGAGCTGCTTATTAATAGTGGGATCCAGGCCTCTTTAGCTTCCACTCTCCGTGCCGATTCCCAGTAAAAAATGCCATTGGAAAGGTCCTGGCTGATTTCATCATAGTTCTGTGTTACCTAATTCTGGAGGTACAATAGATGTTCTACCATTAATTTTGCTAACACTCAGTGCGTCTATCTTATGGGCCTGTATACCTGCTGCTCTCCTTCTCTCCCCTACTGGGGAGTCTGCTTCCTCTGACCGTCCTTATAACTGCTGGCTCACAGAGATACTTTAAGTTTCAGGATGCAGAATAATGGCCGACCTCCAGGAATGACATAAGAGGGACTTGTTGGCTACTTCTTTCAAATGAGATCCTAGCCTTGTGTACTAAGATAGTTTAACTTGGCTCACAAATACTTATTGAGCATGTTCTTTAGACCATTGACTCATATTAGAACTCTTTTAAATGTGCTGTTGATGTCACGTTTTTAATATTTAAGGGACCAGACTTTGCATTTTTCTGCTTTTTGGGCATTAGAAAGCTTGGAGTTCTGCATTTAACATTAACTTCATGCGCACACCTTTATATCTTCCGTGTGTGATGGATACAGTCCATATCCTCAGGACTTTTTTATTGGTCTATACCAATACAGAAATGCAAATCATTCTCTCAGTAAGGTGGAGATAATGACGAAAGCTGTCCTGCAGGAAGATAAACTCGAGGTGGTGTGATTGAGACCTGGGGGCTTTGTGGAAAAGAAACAGACTAAAAATGGATTTTGATTCAGAAAAGACTGGCAGGGAAGAAGAGGAAGCTAACAGTAAGAATCTAGCATTTACCAGTTGTTCTTCTTGACCTTCCAAGATTCTCTTAATCTTCTTACCATCTTTACAAAGAAAAGTGGTTTCACTGGTTTTACCAATTTTAAGTACTTGGTGGGGGAGTGGAAAGGATCCACTTGGGTCCCAGGTTGAGGCCCCTTTGACATCTTGTAGAGAAAAGGTAAGTGTTTGCTCCAGAGCTCCTGCTTCCAGTTGTAAAATAAGGGGATAAGTGCGTGACAAGGTCCCACATTTTCTAGCTGACAGTGTCCTGGGGTACTGAATAGCTTATCTGATAAAGAAGATTCTTGTTTCTTTGGGTCTGTGCCTGGGGCTGATCTTTGTAAAGAAGGTCCGTTATGTGCTGGTATGTCCTCTTCTCTGGGATGCCTTAGCTGGAGGAAGTGCATATCAGTACATTGGGCACCCTCTCATGTTTACCCCAAAGGGTGGAGGGCCCTTTTATCTCATCAGTCTGCCAGCCCACATTTTAGTCATTCATCTTGTATCAAAAAGAAGGATGAGAATTTAAGTTGATAGTCCTCATTCATAAGTAGGATAGTTTGTTGTTGCTTTTCTGCCTTCTTTCTGGCTCATGTTTGTACTGTTGGCCCTCAGAGCCCTCTTGCCATCTCAGAAATTGCTTTTGAGCTATGAGAGAGTTCATTTTTATGGGGTTCCAATCCTAGCTGAGTGAAGTCTTTCTCCCTTCCTGCATTGAGACATGTGGTAATTGCTTAGAAACGTTCTCCCTGGTGTGTCTTTCCTGCTTACTCTGGTGTCTTATTGCTCACTGATGTTTCTGATTGCTTACTGTTGCGTCTTATTGCTTGCTGATATATCTTCTGGTTGACTATAAACTGTTTCTAAATTGGGTACCATAGCAGTTAAGAAGAGTTCCTTAAAATTGTTTCCTTTAAAGGTATTGCTTTCTTTCCCTTGCTTTCGCTCTCTCTCTCTCTCTCTCTCTCTCTCCTCTCTCTCTGTGTTTATGTGTATGTGTATGCCCCTTCCCTTCCTCTGTTTAACTGTCTTCTATGTGGCTTTTATCCCAAATGGCTTTTCTCTCCAAATTTATCACCATTGGGCTTTTTTTTTTATTACGTGAAAGCAAATGTGCCCCTAGAGAAATTTAGGTGTAAATGAACTTCATTAAAATCAGGGGTCAGATTGAGTTGCATTTGTGAATTCTGTTTATGTTGTTGAAGACAAAGGGGAATCAAATGAAGAAGCAGACTTAAAACAAAAATTTCTACCCTTCCATCGATTGCCCAGGAAATCAGTTTACCCAGATTTGTTTTCCAAAAATGCTTGAACATCTTTTTGTCAAAATTATCTACTTTAATGGGGCATGGAGTATGCTCAGGGATAGAATACATACCTTACATGGCTAGCAAGTATGAGGTCCTGGGTTTCCCAGTTTAAAAAAAAAAAAAAAAAAAAAAACTTTTTGTTTTTTAGAAAGATCTGTCTACCTCTCTAGTGATATTTCATGACAAAAATAGCAGTAGGTCTGTAGTTGAGACTAGGGTGCTGTAAGCAGTATATATAAAGGTGCTTGCTTTCTGATGATAGAGACATATCTGGTCTTAGTTCTGCTCATGTTGTCATGTTCAGAGCTTTGTTAAAGTTCCTTGATAGATACTGTTTTCATGGACTAGGTTATGCTGGAGGAGTTTTTCCTTATATTTCTCTTCTCCATTTATACCTAAGGAGATGTGCTTGGGAGTGGGACTTGGTATCCCATTTCCACTTTCAGCAAATTCCACCTAAGAAGAGGGGACTCCCTTTTGTGCTGGTCGTGACTAAGCTTTTCATAGATGATCCTGTACTGTGGGGTCTTAGTGGAATGTGAAGGTTACAACTCTAGATTTTATATGTAAATCTAATATTTTGGAGGACAAAGACATTATGCAGCCCTCTGAAGGGGTGTGCGTGTGTGTGTATGTGTGTCTGTGTGTCTGTGTGTGTGTCTATATGTGCATTTATTTACTTACATTATCAGTAAACAGTTGCGGAATAACTGGCCAGTGCTGACTGTTCACTAAAAGTCAAAACATAATGACAGTATCCACTTTCGTTATGATCACTTATAACTGCAAGATCATCTGGGAAACAGGATCACAAAATCAAATGTGTAGGCACAAACTCAAGTGATGATTTCCTGGTCTTTAGTCCAAAATACCGCCCTGCATTTTTCAAATGACATTTGCCACATGTAACATTTCCAGTATTTGAGATTGGCATGCACTGTATTTCAACTTGGATGCTGTTCTTGAAAACAATCATAATTATTATTCTTACCATTTGGAAATTGAAAATGAAAAATGTCCCTGCTGGGTTTCAGGGCTTGCTTTTGAAAGTGTAATTTCCCCGCTTTGTGCTGCTAATGGACCTTGAAATTAAGTTGCACCTGTGCTGCTGCTTTGTTTGTCTGCCCATGTTATCACTTGTGTCAAAGTGGCACCTGACGTGTACCCAGCACCCAGCCCAGGCAGTGGCTCATTAGGTGGCTTTCCTAGGGTTAGTCATTGGCCAGTCAATGGGACCCTATGTGCTGCACAAGACAAGAGAGACATGAAATTTCAAGCTGCTTTCCTATTGATTTTACTAAGAAATAAAAATGTTCTTCTGTTGGTCTACATGTCATTTTCTGTTTTGTTCTTTGCAAAGGCAGCAGTAATATTTAGCTTTTGTCAGAAAAGATTTTTTTTCATATCTCTGCAGAAAGTCCATGTCATTGTTGGTGTGGTTTTCACCTTGTATGATCAAGGGTGTTCAATTTTTATCATTAGGAAAAATACAGTTCAGGAATAGTGAAGCTGATGTAGAAAGTATCTGTGGCTTGATTGTTTACTGGACAATCTTGCCCTCCAGGGATGCTTCGTAGTGTCTGGAGATATTTTTGGTACTATACAACTAGAAGGTACTGTTTTAATCTTAATCTTTAAAAGAGG